ACGAATTTATGAGATGCTGCAGACGCAGGTGATGGCACTTGATAGCAGGAAGAAGCATCCATGGCAAAGCCACACCAGCAGTGCTTCCTCTGCCAGGGCCAAGGTCTATTCTTGGGTGCCTGGTCTAATCAGCTTCCATGTGCTTCCTGCTCTCCCGCAGTGGGGCTGGTGCTTCCCCCGGTCGGAGTGTCTTCCTCCCCTGACCGCAGGGGTGGCTGAGCCCCGCTGACATCTCCTGCCCGGGTCCCTGCCAGCAGAACCCGGCTCTTGCCACCTCCCTCCCGATTGCTAGAGGGGAAACCGAGGCATGGAGTAGTGAAGAAGCCAGCTGTAAGCCCCTTCTCTCGGGGTTCTTGTGGTGTGGAGGCTGCCCTCGTACAGAGCACACATCTCTCTCCCCGTTTTCTCCCCCGTTGTGCTTGCTGGGACTCGGTGCTGAGGACCAGAGCAGCCCTGGCTTGCAGTGGCAGAGCTCTGCAGCCCCAGGGCCTGTGTGGGAGCCCGAGAGGAGGATCCTGTCCTATTTTGCATCCCTGCCGCTGGAGTCCGTGCGCTCCCCTCTCCTGCTGTGCAGCTCGCCGCCCCGTTCCTCTCCCGTGCCTTGGAAATGCCGGCTCCGGGGGCAGCCTCGCTGCATTCCAGCGCTCCCACGTCAGGTGGCCCTGGCCGCATGGCAGGGGACAGCCCCGGCGCTCTGTGTCCCCCTCCGGCCTCCCTGGTGGCCCCGGAGATGGTCTCCAGTGGAAAAGCTGTGCTCCACATCCCTGAGAGTGCCTTTGGGGTGCTGTGGCACAGCTCGTCTCTGTCCCCTGCGGGACGGCATAGGGCTGCTGGCACAGGGGGAAGGCTGGCTGGACGTATGGGTGTAAACTAGTGGGAAATGGCTCTTTTCTAGGAAAAACCGGCGTGCGACCGGGGTGGCTTCCTGGAGAGGGGGAATGTCCGACGGCACAGTGTGGGGGAGGCATTAGAGTACATTGCTGCCGTTCCTGTCCTCAGGTGTCTCTGAGCCACCGCTGGGAAAGCCTTGTGTGCTGTCGGTGCTGGATGCAGGACCAGGCCAGTTCTGGGGGACTGGAGCAGCCCAAGCTGTGCTGTGGGTGATGTGGTTAAAATCTCTCCAAAGGGGAGGACTGGCCCTGCTGGCTCCGGGAGGGGATTCAGAGCAATCCTCTGACAGAAAATCCCCGAGCACTGCAGCCTCGAGGGGTGGGTACCAGTGCCCTTGCAGCAGACACTTCTGACGTAACTTGACCCTTTTTGGGCTGCAGGGCTGCTCAGAACTCCCTTTTGAGAGCTCTTACTCCAAAGCAGCCGTGGCCAGGAGCTGTGGGAGCTGTGCTGGTCTCCTGGCAGTGCTGGGGCTATGCTAGCACAAAGTTCTGCTGCCTGGCTCTCCTGCAGCCTTGGTGTGAAGCTCTCCTGGCTGTGCTGGCCCAAGATGTGTCTCTTTGGGGAGATGTAGCTGTGTAAGGACTGGCACTGAAAACTTGAGGGCTAAATAGTTTGTCCGTGTTCCTCCCTCCCCCTGCGTGAGAAGCTGTGCTGGGGATCCTCCCTCTGTAAGAGATGGCCTAGATGGTCTTGTCCCTCCTGGCATGAATCCTGTTTTCCATGGCTCTCCTCCATCTCTGTCAGGTGTTTGGACTGGGGACATCCCAGAGGGGAGGGATGGGGAAGGAAGAGTGTTTTCTGCAGGGCCTGCAGCAGTGTGACTCTGCTGGGTTGTCTGTAGGTGAGAGCTGCTCCCTGCCCTGCTTTCCCCCATCCCCATGTGTCCAGTTCAGCTCAGTCCTGGCTGGGATGTGACTGCTCTCACCTGGCATCTTTCTTCGAGTGGCTGGCAGCAGGGCCTAAGAATGAGCAGAAGAATGTGGTATTCCTGGAGATCTGCTCCTGCTGGATGTCTGGACATGTAGTTTGGCCCAGGCAACTCCTGATGCAGCTCTGGATGGATATTTTTGATGGAGTTTTTGTTTGTTTTGTTTTGTTGGTTTTTGTCTTGTGACTTTTCCAGATGCACTGTGGGGAGGCTGGGTTTGGTGTTTGGTGGCAGGGACTTGAAGCAGGGCATATTTTAGCAGAAGCTAGCCTGTCATGGCATGTTGAGTTTAAGGGCTGGATGCCTGGATTTGTCAGCCCTGGGTGGTACTACTGGGCTGTCAAAGCCTGCAGGGCTTGGGCTGACTGGAGGGTTCTGGTGGGGTTAATCCACTGCAAGATGCTTGTCTGGACCCTGTTGTCCTCATCTACAGTTTCCTCTCTTTGGGAGCAGGAGAAGAGGCTGGACCAGGTTGCCCCCAGTGCACAAGAGGCTCAGACTGGTGAGCTGCCTCCTGCTTTTCTCCTGTGGGGTAACCTGAATCTCCTTTGCTTTATGCCTGATGTTGGAAGTGAGCTCCCTTCTGGCTTAGCTCACTCTGTCCCTTGAAAATATTGCTCAGGTCTTTCACCAGCCTCAGCCTCCCTTCAGTGAATAACTTGGTCTCCCTCTTTCCTTACCCTTCTCTAGATCACTTATGGATGTGGTGAATTGCAGAGATCTTAATGTAAAAGCAGCTGCTTGGTCTTGTCGCTTCCAGCAAGCTCTTCTGAGCAGGGACTTCGTTTGTCTCGAGAGCCTCTTTGGAGAGGCTGGCTGGTGGCATTTGGAATTGCCCAGGTGTTGGAGCAATGGTAGCCCTTGATGGGTGCTGTGGTTTGGCTTTCCCATGCCTTCTCAGTGCTGTGGATGATGACAAGCAGGACTTGGAGGCCAAGGGCAACTTCTGGCCAGCGAGAGAAGATTTCTTGCTCCTGTCCTTGGCGGCAACTGATGGGGCTGGCACTGGGAGCCTGTTACCTCTGACAAAAAGCTTTTCTGGGTGCCTGCCTTGCTCTGTTCAGGCTGATGGGAGGGCTCCAGCTCTGGCTCCCCCCTCCCTGAGCCACCACATATCTTCCATCCTGTCACGCCTGTCGCAAGGACTTACCAAGTGATGCATCACGGGGCCATTTAGAGACCCAACAGGGATGCAGATTTCTGTCTGCTTGGAAGAAAAATCCATTCTGGGGGCTGAGCACACTTGGATCCTGAAATATTGAAAAGGGACAGTGCTTTCACATGGCTGAGGCACATGTGTGCCACGACACTTTGCAGTCCTCCCCTGCAAGAGATGGCTGTGGGTCTTCTGGGAGTGCACTGCAGGCGCTCTGTCGAGCTCATGCTGAAGTGCAAGCGCAGAGGTCTTTGAGGCAGCCAGCAAGCTGACAAACAGTGGCACTGTCCCCTCTTCCCAGGCATGGGGTGGCCTTGGAGCATCAGATGTGGGGTGGTATGGTTGGGGAGCCTGTCAGACCGAGCCTGGGCTTGGAAAATGTTCCTGGAGTGCTCCACATGGCGTCCTGCTTCCCAAGACAGGGCAAAGCAAGAGTGTGTGGTTGAAGGGTCAGGGGAGAGGATGGGAAGGGTGCTCTGGTTCTGCTCCTGAGATGTGCTGGGCCAGAGAAGGGCTTCTTACACTAGTCTAGTGGGGGACAGTGGCAGTCCTTGGTCTCACCATGCACAAGAGAGCGGGAGCACCCCAAGCCTTTCACAGTCACTATCTATCCTGGGAGGCTTTACCCTGGGAAGGGCATTTGTCTGCCTTGGCAGGACTGTCCTGGGCACAGGAGCTCAAGGAGGTGAGTTTTCATCTGTAAGTAAGAGAAATTTCCCTGTGTGGAGGAGTCTCTAGCTGGCTGCCCCTAAAGAATTACAGAGGCAGGGACTCCTATGTTTGCAGGTCTGTCTCCTGCCCAGGAGCAGGGCAAACGTATGCTGCTTAGTTTGGTGGTGAAAGTGGTTTTGAATACAGCCCACTCTGTCTGGGGAAGGTGAAATGGCTGAGCAAAACAAAAAATGTGGGAGCAGAGCCTTTCTGCCCTGCAAATGTAATGGGGAGGTCACTCTGTGCTGGAAGCAGGCCAGGGGATGAGTTCTGCCTTGGAGCTCCTGCTCCTTGTTAATAATGACAAGTGTCTTCATGACCTTGGTTGTGCATAACTTCCCTTTCCAGCTCTGTGCTGGTTTACAAGAGGTCTCTGCAGCTTCATCATGCTGCTTCCTTTGGAAATAGTCTGCCAGCCAGTGTGCAGGGAGAACATGCTCATGGCTGTTGAGCAGAGTTGTCCCAGGCCACGAGCCTTCAGCACTTTCTCCTTCCTGGTTATTCGAGTGAACTATTATCTATTATTTTAATGGATTATCTATTGAAATCCTCCCCTGGCACTGTATTTTTTGCTCTGACATACATGAGTGTGTTTGGACTTGGTCCATGAGTTGAACAGCCTGGGAAGAGCAGATGCCTATGGGGGTTTGGCCCAGCAGAGCTGCTCTTGGCTGGGTAGAGCAGAATAACTGCTCTGAGAGTGGGTTTGGGAGCAACTTCTGAAGGGTCTGAGTGTGCTGGGGAGGAGCTGGGATGGACCCAAAAATCTTCCTTCAGTGACGTTCTGGGGCTGTTGCAGAAGTCAAAAGCTACAAGTGGGGCAGTGAGCAGGGCAGTTCTCCAAACTGAGGGCAGTCTTTGAATTGATGATGGAATTAAAGTGCCAGGGTAGGTTGAGGAGAGATCTATTATGTGTTCTGTAGAAAGATCTGGAGAGAACTGGGATTTGTACTGGTCCCTTGTGGACCTTTGGGATGTGTCAAACTTAGTTTTTGTGGCAGTGTGTGGTCTTTTCCAGTTTAGCCATCAGGGTCCTGTCAGGCTGTGGGGTTGGTGTTCCATGCCTTGATCAACCAGGCCACGATGCCAGGGACTGAATTTTTGTAAAGGCCTCAATCCTTTGAGGTGGGCACCACAGGGCTAGGTGTGTTTTATCCTGGACAACGCTCCTCTAATGCAGGGAAGGGTTAGATGGACCTTTGATGCAAGGTGAACTGTTCTTACTGTACTTAATTGTCTGAGCTGTGCTCTGTGCTCCTTCTTTGGCACCGAACATCTCCTTTTGGTACAGCTGGCTGGCCTCTCCCCTAGGTACGGACGCTGTTTGTCAGTGGCCTTCCTGTGGATATCAAACCCAGAGAGCTCTACCTTCTCTTCCGACCATTCAAGGTAAGAAGGCCTTCACATCTGGATTTTGGAGGGACAGATGTTTTGGGGATGGCCTGGCAGCAAAGGTCTGTCAGGGGAAGTAGGGATGAGAATGGAACCCGAAGCCAGCACGGGATCCCACGACTCGTGCTCAACTGGGAGCCTCCAGCTGGAGCCTGCCATTGGAATTGTGCTGTCTCTAAGCTTGACAAGACCTGCTTGGTCAGCCCTGCTGCTCAACTGGACCAGCCCTTCCTTGGGGACGTGTCCTCATGCCCCAGACTCTCCATCCCTCTCTAATGACCACCTAGGCTGTCTCTGGGGAAGTCTGCGCTCCTTGTAGCACAGGGAGGGTGCTCTGCTTTCTCTAGGCACTAGCCAGGGCAGGGGCTCATCTTCAGCTGGATGAAGAGCTAGAAAATGGGAATTCCTTCCCGAAGGGCCAGGATGGAATAGCTAAAATACTTGCTCTGCCCCCAGTCTTCTCTACTGGTGGAAAAGAAGTGTAATTGTCTCTCTTTCTGCTGTGGCCCCTGCCCTATGGAGGGCTTGGTGCTACAGGAACTCCTGGAGCTGTGGTATTGTGTCTTGCTTGTAGCGTGGCCTCTTCAGGAGCCTGACACTGACTTGCTTTCTTGTCTCCTGCAGGGTTATGAAGGGTCACTGATCAAGCTGACTTCAAAGCAGGTACCTCCTTCCAGCCTGTGTATTTTTGGCTTTTGCTAGCAAACTGGATGTGCCAGGAGGGGAGAGGGGAGAAAAATCCCATGTCACTGTGTGGGCCAGCACCAGTTACACAGCTGGGTACTACTGACCCAGCATGTTCTGAGTGTCTCCATGTCTTCTCTTGCTGCCCTGGGTGAGACCCGAGGCTTCAGCCTCAAACCTTGTGCTGCCATCAGCCTTCCCCACTGCCGTGCTGCTTGAGGCAGGGGTACCCACGCTGGGGGCTCGTCGGGGTCAGCGGTGTCCCCACACGTGAGAGTGCCACAGGATTTGTGGTGGGAGCAGATGCAGATCAGGAATCTTGGGCCAGTGACCCGAGGCCCTGTTGCAGCTTAGGGTGGTCTCTTCTGCTGGTTGTCTGGGGCAGAGGGGGTGGCAGGGCAGCTTGAGGAGCTGGAATAATCTCCCAAACTGAAATCAGTGTTGTTTCTTTTAGCCAGTGGGTTTTGTGACCTTTGACAGCCGGGCTGGTGCTGAAGCAGCGAAGAACGCCTTGAATGTGAGTACCCAAAGTTCTGAGGGGCTGAAGGGGCTGGGTCCATGCCTTTCTGGACCCAGAGCTGAGGGCAGAGAAAGGGCAGGGTCTACCAGCTGTGCCCTGGACTAGGGAAGTGCTCCTGCAGCATCCCACCAGGGAAGCAGGAGAGCTGTTCAAGGCTGACATCAGCCTGGGAAAACGGATGCAAGCTGTCTCCATGTAGTTTTTGACCACTGGAAGACAGCTCTGAGGGCCTCTTAGGGTGTGGGGACCTGCTGTGACTCAATAAAATATCTTGAGACTTGTCAACACAGAAAGGACATCCAAAATGATCCCCATCCTGCAGGAGTGACCTGCAGATGGGATCTGATCAGCAGGACGTGGCTCTGCTGTGCTGTAGAGCTTGCCTTGGGCTCCTAGTGCCTCTGCTCAGGCTGGCAGGAGTGCAGTGGCACCACAGGTGGGAGCTCCCACACAGATGGGGGTTGTTCCAACTCTAGTATGTCCAGCTGGACATAAAAATAAAAGCACATGGGAACCTGAGTGTTGCAGTGAGCTGACAAAAATCTGGGCATGTGACTGCAGTGTGGTGGCCTTGGGTCCTTAGCTGGGCTTTGCTCCGTGAACAACCACAGCCTGTGCTTGGACTGGAGCTTCACCTCTGAGAAACTCCTGTGCTCTCTCCTGTGCCAGGGCATCCGCTTTGACCCTGAGAACCCCCAGACCTTGCGGTTAGAATTCGCTAAAGCCAACACAAAGATGGCCAAGAGCAAGCTGATGGCCACACCGAACCCCACCAATATCCACCCTGCACTGGGCGCACATTTCATTGCACGGGACCCCTGTGAGTATGCTGGGAGGGGCTTGGAGGGCATGGCTCCAACCTGAGGGGTGCCCAACTCTGTGAATGCTGCCACAGTGGAAAGGAACCCAGACCCACCTCTGCTCTGTCAGGGGCAGGGAGGCCAGCAGGATGTTGGAGCCACAGGAAAACAACAGGCCTCTGGCCAACACAGAACTGTTTAGACATGACAGTTGGATTTGGTAGCTCAAGTGGCACCAAAAATCTTTTAAAGCATGCCTAATTGTAAAGCATAAAGGATGAGTCCTGTGCCATCACCCTCAATGTAGCCTGGTGGGCTGAGTAGCCCCGCTGAGGCTTATGGGGTGACCTGTGATGTGGCTCTGAGCCCACTGTCCTGCATCCTGTGGCACCACCCCTCTGCTGCTTGTGTGGACCAGTCTGTCCAAAGCCCACGTGTGGGGCTGTAATGCAACACATTCCTGGCAAGGCCGGGAGGCCAGAGGAGCAGCTGTGCCCACAGATCTTGAACCTCATCAAGATGGCAGTGCAGAGCTTTAGCCTGGGGTGGAGGATGCGGGGCCAGTTCCCAGAGCAGGCTGTTGGGGCAGCCCCTGGGACGCTGTCCCCTTGTCTCCTTGCCCTGCCTAGATGACCTGACTGGAGCGGCTCTGATCCCAGCGTCCCCGGAGGCGTGGGCTCCCTACCCGCTGTACACCACGGAGCTGACCCCTGCCATCCCCCACGCTGCCTTCACCTACCCGGCAGCTGCTGCTGCAGCCGCCGCTCTTCACGCTCAGGTGAGTCCCTCCCCACCTCCCGTGGTGCCAGGGCTGGGCCCTCCCATCTCCCCTCCACGGCTCCCATTGCCAGGGCTCCGCTTGGCCGCCTCCAGCCTGGCCTCCCTGCACCTTGGCTCCCGGGCAGAGCCCGCTGCTGGGTGCTCACTTCTGGCCCTGTAGGTCCAGCCTGCTTTCCTGTGAGGGGCAGGCAGGTGGGAGGAAGTCAGGGCTCAGTTTCTGGCTGGTCCTGCTGCTCCCCATGGCCAGGGGAGCTGGGAGGAAACACTTCCAGCCAGCAGGTGACTATTCCAGCTATGAAATGTTATCCCAAGTCACAGCAAGAGCAACGGGCTGAGCTCCGTGCTGAACCGAGGGGCTCAGCTGGGACCCCGTGGGCCGAATGACTCAAACACTTCCAAATCTGGAGGAGGATGTCCTGCAAGAGATGAGTGACTAGAGCCTTGCCCAGAGTGAGGAGCTGTGATGGAACAGGGTGTTAGCCACCCTCTGTACAGGCTAGTGAGCAGAATCCCTCCGTGTATGAGCCTGTGGAAGTGCAGGTGGTGGTGAAACCAGCTGCCTGGTGTCCCAAGGCTTGCTGGCTGACAGCTGAGGATGTAAGGATGCCTGTACTGCTCTGACACAGATGCTTTAATGTACTACATAAACCTCAAAACCATGAACATGCAAAGGGAAAATCAAAACAGAGTAGCAGTGTCCTAATTCCGAGTTAAGGTGCTTGGTTTGAAGGCCTTGTCCAGGAGAAGCTGGAACCCCTGTCCCTGCCCTGCTCAGTGTGACCAGCCAGCTGTGCTCTGCCTGCTTCTGTCTCTGCTCCTGTAAGTGGTGCCATGGGAGCCTGGGGCAGTGGGACCGAGCGTTGGGGCTTAACCTCTGCTCTCTGCCCTGCCAGGCAGGGTGTTGACTCCTACTCTTCCCTGCCTAAATGGAGAGGAAGAGGAGCTGTGTCCTCTCACCTTGCTGTCCTGGCTGGTAGTGAGCTATGTGGGCCCTTGGGCATCCTGTTGCTTCCTGCAAGCTTTGTGATGGTAATTGCCCAGCTTTAAGCCAAGCTTGCTTCCCAAATGCCATGTGGAGTGGATGCTGGCTCCCATCCTCTGTCCTGCCCCTCTCACACCTGCAGACCTCTCCTGCTTCTGCCCTTCTGCAGGTGAGCTGTTGTTGGGCTGAAGCTCCTGGGGGCTTGGGAGAAGTACATTGGGGTTCAGGACAGGAAGAACCCTGGACTATTCTTTCAAGGACCTCCAGAGCCAGGCTGGTTCTTCACTGTGAAGGTTGTGCTTGCTGGTGTTTTCCAAAAGTTGGTAGTGGTGCCCACAACTGCAGGACTGTGCTGTCCTCCTCAGTGGCCCAGGAGAGAGGTGTCTTCCTGCCCCTTGTGTTTGTAGGATGGTGGTCAAGGCTGAATTGTCCCTGAAAGGGAGGGCCAGGAAAAATCAACCCCTCTGGCCTGTCTGAGGTGGTTGGGGGAGGTGAAACTTTTACTGCAGTTTCTTCCAGGATGGTCATTGGTGAGTGTAGAGGGACCCTGAGTGTGAAGGTTAGACACCAAAACTTTATGATGCAAAGTTGGGGAGAAAACTCTGCTCTTGTAGAGAGGAGGGTATTAAGGAGGCCTCCATCTACCTCTTTCCCTCTGGGGTCTTAGTTCCTGCATTCCAGCTGGTGAGCTGCTGCTTTCCAAAGAGGTTGTTTGGCCTCACCATAAGACCCTGAGGAGCTCCCTGTGTAGGCAGAGCTCCCTGCCCAGGGAGGCCCATGGGTGGTGATGGCCTCTAAGCTTTAGGGAGTCAGTGCAGCCCCTCCAGGCTGTGGCTGGACCCAGCTCTTTTCCAAAGAGGCCGTCGGGCAGTCCCAGCCGCTCCTGGCTGTGCTGGGCTGGTGCTGACCCCACAGGGCCATGTCCTGGCACAAGATATGTTACCAATAAAATTTAGTGGGGTTAAACATTACTTGTGCTGGCAGCTCTGGGCTGGAGCCCTGTCCCTTGCAGAGCTGAGGGTGGAGGGCAAGAGGGAGATGACTTTTGCTCACAAACTGGGCTAAAAGCTGTGCCCTTAGTCCCTCTGTGCTGAGCCCTCTGCCCTCACTGGGAGGGGCTGGCTCACTATGTGGTGGGCTTGCGGGTTATTCCACAGAGCACTCACAGTTCCTCCTGGTGGACTGGAGAGCATCCATGGGGATGGCCAGAGCTGTAGCAGCTCCACAGTGATCAGCCTTGAGGCAGGCAAGAAGTAGGAGGATGTAGCTAAAGCAAGATCTTGTCACAAGAGATTTAAACCTGAAGGGCTCATCTTCTTGCAGTGCTGAGTTCAGCAAGGGGGAGAGGAGGTGGCCTGGCCACCTGAAGAGCTGCCCAGAGGGCTGGCAGGAGGGATGAGGGGCAGGAGATGCTGAGAGGCTGGCCTGGCCTCGGGAGCCCTTGGTAAGCCACTCCCAGCCGACGGCTGCTGTTCCTGGCACGTCCATGCCTTGGTGATGCTCCAGGCAGGTACCAGGCTGCTGTAGCTGTGACTGTAGCCTGACCCTGCCCCACTGGGGACTCTGCTGACTTTAAGATTGTCCCATCTGCCTTCCCTCCCTCCCTCCCACCCTCTCTCAAATCCCTCCTTTGATGTCCCTAGTGAACTCCAGCCATGATGCCAGCGCAGGCTAGCCCTGAAGCTCAGAGCTGTCCCTGGAGATGGGACGCCCTAGTGATGCCTTATTGCAGCTAGTGGAGTGGCTGTACTACAGCTCCATTCCTAGAAGTGTTAAGCATGATGGCAGCCACGTCTGGAAAGACTGGTAAGGTAACCATCTCTCCTCCAAGGTGCACTGTGGGATTTGCAAGCTTCTGCCCATCTCTGTAGCCCGTATCTCCTTGGCAATCCAGTGCATGGGCCTCACGCTACCCACCCACCAGAGCCTGGGGAATGAGATGCCAGGCCTTCTTTCTAACCCACATCTCCAACTTGGCAGCACATGACATGGCGCACACAGCATGGCACCATCTTACATCAGCTCCTCCCAGCTGAGCCAGGCTCGGCCAGGCCCTGCCGGTGGGAGGGGAGCAGCCCGGTTGAGCTGGGGCAGAGACCACCCTGCCACTCGGCCTGAAAGAAACCTGGTTTCTCCCCAGCCTTGACCCTTCGAGGGCAACCAGAAATACACCTTGACCTCACTCTGGCACACGGTGGGGGAGGTGAGTGACGTGGTAGTGATAGCACACGACTAAATTTTAGTGGGCACCTTAGACAACAGCACTTGCCGGTCACTTTGTTCCAGAATTGCATACCGGGACAGACCCTGCTCTTAATCGTGGGTCTAATCTCACCTCTTTCCTCTCTAGTAATGGAAACGGAGCCAGTTCCTACCTGGAGCTTGGCTTCTCTCTTGCAGCCTGAAGTCACAGGCAGGACACAGGTCGTGTGAGCCATAATGGAGGGAATCAGCAGCCTTGGGAGAGAGGGGTGTGGTGTAGGAGACCGGGAGCTTTGGATGAGGGAAGAGACTGGGACTGGTTGGCAGGGGGATGGTTGATGTTTGACCGAAGGAAATGAGCCCTGGTTCATTCAGTTCTCCCTGCAGTGGTTCTGAGCAGACTTGTTCCCCTCTCTGTGGAAGTGATGATAAGAAGCGACCAAAGATGGGGGCCCAGGTCTGCCCTTGCCCTTAGAAAACTGTGAGGTGCAGAGCTGTGCAGAGCTGGCCTTCTGGGAAGAGCTTGACACAGGCATGGAGACAGTGATACAGCTGGGCTTGCTCTGCTTGGTCCTGGTAGACAGGTGCATCCATTGCTGCTAGAATGGAGTTGGGCTGCATCGTGTCTCTGAGGTGGAACCACTGGTTTTGGGGTGCCTCCAAATCAGGCTGTGAGTGGGCAGCAGGGGATGCCAGGGCTACCCACGCTTCTAGAGCTCTTTTGCAGAGATGCTTCCAGCTGTGGATGTGTTTTTCTGTCCCTAATAACTTGTTGCCTGTTGGTGCTGTGGTGTAGGGCCTTGGCAGGATTATTTCTCTCTGGGTAAGCTCCATGCTTCCCAGAGATGTGAAGCCTCTTGTTCAAGACATTCATGGTTGTGGTCGCTTTCTAAACTTCAGTGGCTTGGTGGTGGCATAGCTGGCCAAGCAGCCCCAAGCCAGCAGTTCCCTCCTAGCCAGGGAGAAGCAGGCAGGATCCTTCAAGCAGAGGATGATCCTGAGCAGCTGTCCTTGCTTAGTGGTGGGTGAAAGGGACTGATATGCCATCAGAAGAGACTTGTGGCCAACAGTGCCTCTTCCTGGCTGCCTCAATCCAAAAGAAAGCAACACAACTTGATGTAAAAGGGGAAATACTTGTTGGTTGCAGTCTGAAAGAGGGTGTGTCTCCCTGAGCCGTAGGGGTAAAAGGCATTGGATTGATGGATGTATGCCCATTAAAATGTTCCTGAGCAAGAGGATGGATCAGTGCCTGTCTTGTCCCACACACTCCTCCCCCTGGTGTGGGATGATGAACTGATCCCCCAGCTCTCCCTCACCAGAGCTGCCTGGGGACATTCACGCGCTCAATCCCGCTGCATCTGGTTTTCCTGGTGGTGGGCTGAGCCGCTCTGGCCCCGCGCCTCAGGGTGCCCCGCGCCTCAGGGTGCCCCACAGCAGCACCCTGAGGGGCCCTTAAGCAGTGCCTGCTGCTGGGGTGGGCACGTGTCCAGCACACACCAGTGGGTGACGTGGTGCCTGTCCTTGCCTGCCTGGGTCACATTCCCAGGGACTGCATTTCCAGAAGGAGCAGAGCGGCTCTTGGAGAGCTCACGGCCCGTGACCCGCGGTGCTGCCTGCGAGGTGCTTGCCAGGCTGAGGATCTGAGGATCTCAGCAGCACCAGTGAAGATGCTGCTCTGCACTTGAGCAGCTTGGCAGCAAGATGCAGCTCTTGGACGTGTTAATTGGATCCTGCCAGCTTCTGGGAGCACAAGGAGTGCTTTGTCCCTGCCTGCACCGAGAGCCTTTCTGGTCCCTGGGGCCCATTCCAGCTGTAGAGATGGATCACAACTCCAAGAGTTGCTGGGGCTGGCTGCAGACCTTGAGGTAACTAAGGAGGAAAGGCAGGTCCTCCCAGCCAAAGGTGGTCTGGGGAAGGACCTGTGTACTTGGCCCTCGCTTCCACTCTTTTCTTCTGAAGGACTTGCTCTCCATGACGATGGTGGACAGTGGGACACTTAAATTCTGAGGGCAATTGAGAGACAAAGGAGGTTTTGACAAGGAGAGTGAAGCACTGATGGGCTGTTTCTCTGCCCCATTCATAATTTCACTGTGATTTTTTAGGCAGCTGCTGGAAAGGGAGAGGTTCCTGGCCTTTGGGAGGTGGCAGGCAGAGGCACCCATTTCTCCTCTCCAACTGTTTGCTGGGACAGATGTTGAAGGCATCAGCATGAGGCTGCTGCAGTTGTCCAGCAGTGGCTGCCTCATCCCTGCGAGCAGGAGATGTTTCGGTGGTGTGACCAGGCTCCTTTCCAACTGTGAGCTAATGCCTCTCCAGAAACAACCGTGTCTCTTCCAGTAAAAGCCTCTCTTGCTTTGCTTTCCTCACCCAGTACTGAACATCTCCATTAGTTCTCAGCTTCCTCCTTGATGGTTGTAGTATTTTGAGGGGTGTGAAGAGAAAACTGCCTTGGCAGGTGGCTGGAGAGCATCCTCTTGGCTATTTGCTGCCTCTGATCCACTGCCCCCAGTGCTTTCTGCTGGCTTCAGGAGCATCCCCCCTGCTGAGCTCCTGCCTCATCCCATCTTCATCTTTCCTGTAGGCTGAAAGACCTGGCAGGTCATTCCCTCAGCCTGCCAGCATGTCAGAGCCTCAGGTTGTACGCAGGATTGTCACATCTGTAGCAGCTCCTGTGGGGCTTCAGGAGCTCCTCTGAATGCAGGGCTGGGCTAGTGGTCTGTGGGGCCACGGTGGGTCAGGCTGGGGGGTTTGGTGTGTGAGCAGTGTAGACCTGCAGGAGGAAGGCAAGGAGAGGTGGTCATTGCAGTGATGGTTTATTAGCACCAGAGCTATGAACAGTGAATGTTCTAAGAGAAAACCAGGACTTCTGTTGGAAATGGAGGTGCTGAGGCTCTGCAGGTGGGCCAGGAGGTGGCTCTGAGGACAGGATCGATGGCCACCAGGCTGGGCCTGGCCCTGTATAGCCTGGCTGTGCTGCTTGGCCGAGCCTCCATGGGGTGGAGGCGGCTCTCAGGGTTAAGCACTTACAGCCTTGTGAATGCAGGGGGAGTTTCCTGTTACTGCTGGGCAGAAGGAAACTGCTTCCAGCTGTCGAGGGGAGGGGTGTAGAGTGGGAGACACTGGCTGAGGGGGACAGCTGCAGAGGAGATGCGGCTCTGCTGAGCAAGCAGCTCCTGGTGACAGGGCTTGGGGGGAGCAAGAAACCCCTGTCCTTGCTCTGGCAGCTGCTGCGGTGGCCCTGTAAGCTGTCAGTGACGCTGCTGCCCATTCCAAGCCTTCCTGGGTGGTGTCTGTGCACAGTGTGGTGGCCCTGACTGGGCAGCAGAGGAGAAGTGAAAACACACTCTGTGTGGCACTTTGGTCCTGGCACTAGATGGGATCCCTCAAGGGAACGAGGGTCTGGTTAAGGTCCACACCCTTGCTTGCCATGGTTGGACTGACTGGGATGCTGTGCCATGAAGTGAGGTATGGGGCCAGCTGGGAGCTGATTTAGTGGCACCCATTTGTCTTTTGAAGGTGTCTGGCAAAGGCCCAGCACATGATGGAGCAATGGTATGGTTTGAGTTGGGAGGGATCTTAGACCAGTCTCATTCCACCCCCATGCCATGTGCAGGGACATCTTCCACTGGACCAGGTTGTTCCAAGTCTTGTCCAAACTTGCTCTGAGCTGATGAGAGGCTCCTGTGAGGACAGAGCTCCTGCTGAGTGGCAAGGCTCATTTAGGAGCCCTCTCCTGGAGGGGGACTCAAGGCCACAGCTCATGTGGCTGCAGTTCCTGGCATTGTAGCCTTCATGCCTGTGGGGGAAGAACTTGGCCACTGCAGGCAGCAGCACCAAGGTTGTGGCCATTTGCTGCATGTCTCTGCACATCCTTGGGAGAGGAGCATCTAGCCAGGCTTGTTTGGGTCAGGGTACAGGTGTGCCAGGATGAACGTGACAAGGGGAATGGCTCGCATGGGGCTCCAGGGGGTTTTCTGCCACTTTTCTCCCCATCTTAGGGCCAAGTCCATCATCGTGCTGGTTCCCAGAGCCCTGAACGTGCTGAGGCTGTGCTTCTCTCCTGGCAGCTGGAGAGGGAGGAGCAAGGGCTGCTGTTCCAGCAGCAGAACCAAGCTCCAGTTGCTGCTGCAGCTGCTGGATCCATGCTCAGTCAGGTGGCACAGGCTTGTCTTGTGCTGCTCTCGGGCGCTGCTGGTGCAGCTCAGCCAGGCATACTGGCCATGCTGACCAAATGGGGTCAGCTGGATGTCTGAGGCAGTGGGGCTGGACACTGCCAGCTCAGTGAGTCTCATAAAGGGCTGGAAAGGGTCTGTTCAGTTTTCAAACTGTCCCATGTTTGCTTGTTAGGTCCCAATCCAGCCCCTTCCTTGGCAAGGAGCAAGTCTGAGAAGTAGATGTGGCAGCAAGCACCTGCCAGGGAAGCCTCCCAGTCTTGCTTGCTCACGGCTCTGCAAAGTTCTTCCCGTGGTGTTGTTTGCTTGGAGCCACTCCTGGTAGCAGGGTTGGGGCTTGGAAAATGCCACGGGCATCTGCTGTAGTGGATGAGCCACTTCTTCCCCCATACATGTCCTGTAGAGGTTGTCTGGTTTTGGTGTGTAGTCTTGAGATGCCTCCTTTGGCTGGAGGGTGGAGCTATTCAAGTAGTATTAGAGCTCACCCTGGGGCCTTCTTTTCCATGCTGGAGACATCTTTTCTCCATGGACCTTGCACATGGCTTGAAGGAGATGAAGGCTTTTACTCTGGCTGAGGTAATTCTGGATCATGGACCTCTTCTGTGGCTTTCTTTTCCAGATGCGCTGGTATCCGCCCTCTGAAGCTACCCAGCAAGGATGGAAGTCTCGTCAGTTTTGTTAGTTTGTTAGTAAGTAATTAATTACTCTTGGAGTCAGGTCTTTGTCTTGCTCTTCCTTGGACTCTTGGAGGGAGGAGGGAACGGGAGCTTGGGCTCAGCCCCACGAGGATGTAGTTGGGTTTCCTGGATGGGTGATGGGGGCAGGGGCACCCCCATGCCCTGGGCTGGGGAGGGGCTGTGGGAGACGCTCGGGACACGGGTCCAACTGGCCCTGCTCACCGTGCTCCTCTCCTGCAGTGTCTCTTCTCGGCCTGTGTTCCTCCTCCCTGCCCTCCGCAGAGGGATGTGCCAGGGACGATGGCTCCGGCTCCTCTGGATTTGGTATGTGGCCAGCGGACCCTGCGCCTGGCCCCACCACGCTGCCCCCGGGCCTGCCAGCACCCCTTTCCCTGGACTGTGAAGCCATTGTGGCCTCAGCCATGGGCTGTGCCTCCGTCCCTCTCTCCATCCATCCCTCTGTCCCTCCCCAAGCCATCCCCAGGACCTCCTCCCTGGCTGAGCTTTGCCATCTGGCTGCACTGAAACCCAGCTGGGGGGAAGGTCCTGGGCTTCCCCGGGCTCGCCCTGCCCCGGGGGCAGCTCGGCCGAAGGAATCGAAAGGCAAAGTGGGTTTTGCATGTTTTCTGGCATGAATTAAAACACTTAACTTGTGTCTGTGTGAGTGTAAGTTTGTTTGTTCTAGCGTTTGTGTAACCGTTAGCAACAGGTCTTGGCCCAGCGGATTGATCCATCAAGGTTTTCCTCTTACTTCGGTGAAGACTTGGCTTTGAGAAATACTAACTGTCCTTGTCTCACCCCTTTTCCCACCTCCACCCTCCCCTCCCCAGGATGACCAGAAAAATTTGAAAAATGCTTTTTTTTTCTTTTTTTCTTCTTTCTTTTTCTTTCCTTCTTTCTTTTTTTTTTTTTTTTTTTTTAAAGTACGATGCACTGGGTTTTTGTTCTCATCCATTCTGCTCGTTTTAAAGTCAGGGTTCTTATATTATTTTTTTCCTTCTTCAGACTTCTATATATAGAACAGCTGTAAAATATCTAACCTCTTTTTTTTTTTTCCCACATTCTTCTGATTGGAGAGCATCCAGTCTTGCCAAATAATCAGCCATCCTTATGGGAATACCGAACAAAAAAAAAAAAGTATGAGTATTTTTGTACCATGTGTAATAAGGAAATATTTATGCATCATAAAGAATTTCTTGTGTGTTTGTGTGCAATTAATTATTATTATTATTAAAGAGAAATTGTAATCCTGTAAGATAAGTTAATGTTTAGTTAAAAGCTTGAAAAAGAAGGATTGTCTTCTGTACCAATGATTCAGTCAGGCATAGTAAACAAGAAATTGTGCAATTTTTGTTTTAGCATCTTATTGCTTGGTATTGAAGTGCTTTAAGTATTATCTGACCATGGCTGTCTCGCTTGTATTAAAAGATTTGAGAATAAGTTGCTCTATAATTGCTGATCCTATGAGAATGTGAAACTGGATAATATATGAAATGCAACAAAAAAAAATACCCAGCGGCTGCTGTGACTTTTTCTGTGATCTTGGGTGTTTTCTTGTGGGAATGGTGTGGGATGGTTCAGTCCCAGCCTGGTCCTGTTTCCCGGGCTGGAAGGATGCAGGCTGGTTTGGAATGCAGCTGAGGACCAGGAGCTGGGCTCTTCTCTACCCTGCTGGGAGAAGGCCAAGTCCTTGCCCGTCTGGCCGTGCTGGGAGGGGTGGTGGAGGCTGGAGGCCTCTGCGGGGGGAGCCCTGAACTCTTTTTGGGTGTTTTTGTCCCCCCTTCCAGGCTAGCGTCTGCTCCGTGCCAGCAGTGCAGGAGATCTCCATAGAAGGGAAACGCTCTCCACGGCTGGAGTTTCTCCTTGTGCCTGCCCTGCAGCTGCTGCTGCCCGAACCTTTCCGTGCCCTTATCCGCTCCGGCAGCGCTGGGAACGGCAGTCCCGGCCCCAGGGGCTGCTGTCCCGCTGGGAATCTCTGTGCAGGGGCCGGGGGCTCTCCCTGCTGTGCCCCAGGAGTCCCCATGGCCCGGCTCGCTGACCCCTGCCTGGGGCACTCCGGAGCCCTCCCACGCAGCGACCCGCCCCGGGGATCAGTGTTTTCCCTCTCCGCAGGGCTTCCAGGGCAGCGCTGAGCGAAAGCAAGGCAAAAAAAATTAGTAAAACAAAAAGGCAGGTCTAAAAATAGTTCCCCGTGCCTGGGAATGGACCGGAGCGAGCGCTGCTGCTCCGGGAAGTGACTCGCTGTGGGGCTGCGGGCTGCCCGCAGCACTGAGGGGCTGCCAGCCCCTTCCCGTGGGATCCCCCCGCCCCCCGCCCTGGCTCTTCCCTGCATCCCGGATCCCGCTCCAATCCCAGCTCCAGCGCCCTGGCTCTTCCCTGCCGGCTCTGTCCGCATCTCGCAGCTCTGCTCACCTGAGCGGAAACACTCCGGAGAGCAGCGGGCCATGGTGCCGGGACTGTACAAGGCTTTAAATTATAGAGCAGAGACTTTTTCCTGTTCTTTTTTTTTTTTTTTTTTTTTTTTAATCCTTTAGCACATGCATTAACATGGCCAGGCCATGAATAATTTACGCCCGGCTCTATTAAGCTTTTACACTGGGACCCGCTCGCCTCGGAGCTTAAGTAGGTCACGTCTGCTCCGAGGGTCCCCAGGCGTCCCCTCCCCGGCTCGGCCACGTGTGCACTGCCCCGGCTGCTCCCCATGGGGTCCTCCTCAAAGGGACGCTCTGGGAGGTGATCTGGGGACACGGAATGTCCCCAAAATATCCCCATCACCAGCCAGAGTGAAGCTCTAGGTGCAGAGAAGCTCTGGGTGGGGCAGGAGCTGTTGGCATCACCAGGGAAAGGGTGCAGGTCCATGGCACCTTTGGTTCTGGGCTGTCTGGGCATGTTGGCCAATGGCCAAGGGAGAAATAGAAAAGATGACACTGAGGGTGGAAAAAATAGTGGGGGGAAAAAGGCTGCTTTTGTCATGCTTTTGTTTTTCACTTTACTGGAAACGCCTCCTCTTTTCCTTGTTTTGAAGGTGGGACAAAAGATAAATCTCAGAGCTTTTGGACTCTTTTCTCCTGAACATGCTGTGCACTGCTACAGTGTGTGGTCTGGGCACTGAGGCAAGGAGCACTTTGGGAATAGAAAACCCAGCTGTTGTGATGCTAAAGAGCCTCTCGGCATGGCTGTGCTGGATAAGCTGCTCCCACTGGAGGTGATTAGACACACAGCCAGCCAGGGGGGCCAGATCCAAAACTCTGCCCCTGTGCAACCAGACAGGTAGGAAGGGGTTCAGATAATCTCACATGAGCATTCATCCAGTGATGAATCACAGGTCACAGGAGCTTCTGTCTTGGGGTCAGTGGCATCCCACAAGGCTGGTGCTCCCACGTCCCACACACCTTTGCTGATGGTTAAGGGTCCCCATGCAGCTCTTGCAGGTGACAATCAGTGCCTTTCACCCATTTCTCCAGGAGATGTGATGAACAACAATTATAAAGGATCAAACCCCAGCAATTCCCATCTACTGGTCTGTGCCAGCACTGCTGCCACTGCCTGCTTTCCTGTCCACTCTCAGGCCGAAGCCTGTCATGGCTAGAGATCATCTTGAACATCATTGCTGACCTGCCTGCTTGTCCACCAGGCAGAGAACAATGGCCACAGCTGTGAGGAAATGTCTCAGAGAGCCCCAGCTCCATCCTGCAGCAGGGTTTAGCGGCTACTGCTCCCTGCTGATTTCCACGAATCGAAGAATCGCTGAATTTTTAAAGCTGTAAAGGTCCTCTAATTCCATGGAGTGCATCCATTCCCCAGCACTGCCAGGTCCAACACTAAACAACCATTCTCAAGCACCACGTCTTTGAACAGTTCTAGGGATGGTGTCTCCACTACTGCCCTGGGCAACCCCTTACAATGCCTGATCACCAACACTCAACCTGAACCTCCCCTGGAACAACTTGGGCCCGTTTCCTCTCATCCTGTCCCTCGTTCCCTGGAAGCAGAGCCCAGCTTCCCCTCCTGGCTGCCCTTTCCTGTCAGGGAGTTGTGGAGAACCAGAAGGTCCCCCCGAGCCTCCTTTTCTTCAGGCTGAAGCCTCCCAGCTCCCTCAGCTCCTCCTGGTGCTCCAGCCCCTTCCCCAGCTCCATTCCCTTCCCTGGGTATGCTCCAGCCCCTCAATGTCATGTGTTCAAAACTGAACACAGGATCTGAGCTGTGCCAAGAGGCTGCATCTCATGCAGTTGTGCTGGGATTCCCCAGGCAAGTATGTGTTGTCCAGCCCCGTGAGGGTGAGGAGCAGGTCTCCTGTGGTCCTGTGGTCCTCACCTCACCTGTCTGTCGGGCCTCAGCCCATGGCACGTGGCCAGATAAAATGACTGGCCAAGATGTAAAAGGATGGATGATCTTGTTAGCACCTCTGGAAGAGGCAGGTTGGTACAATCAAGCTCAGCCAGGCCTGAAATATCACCAGGAGGGCAGGAGGAGGTAGGGAATGATGGACACCAAGCAGGGAGGAGACAACGTTCTGGCTGCCTCACGATTCTTTATTGCACAGTGACCCCTCTCAGGAGTTTTGCTTGGATATCACTACACTCCCACAGCTCCAAAAATACCTCTCCTCTCCCCTGCCAAACATCTACTTGTCGAATTATCCCCCAACCCAGCAACAAGTCTGTAGAGACTTGGAATTGGCATCCCAATCCTCTGTGGAAAGACACAGGTGACAATGGATGCCACAGGGATCATGTAACAAAATACACCTCAAAAAAGAACTGTTAGGGAAAGGTGAGGGGGGACAGGTCACACCCAAAAGGTGATGCATGACATCCCAAAGAGTCTCACCTGGGACTCAAGGTGTTGCTGCCATGGGATCCTGAGGGTTATTAAGGAGGTAACTCCATCGTGATTCAAAAAATACTTGGTCTCGGCTCAGTTCCAGGAACAAAAGCTGCTCTGAGCCAGTCAGGCTTTAACGGCGTTGTTATTTGGGATAGTGTGATGAGAAATGCACTCCTCGTCTGTGCTGTTAACACATGTAGAGTTTAGCAGGAGAGCCAGGAGGTGGCAGCCGAGACCTGAGCACGGGAGGCTGTAACATCCCTCCAGCAGCTCGGGACCCTGGGGAACCATGCACGCATTCTGTCATGCACCTTCTCCTCCTTGGCATGGGGAGAGCTGAGATACTTTAGGCAAAGCAGCTCTATATTAAGTTAATAGAGGAAAATATTTAAATTTTTTCTGGCCAGCTACAGCGTTGTTATCAAAAATACACTGAATTTCAGCTGGAACGGGACGGGATGGGGGGCGTTGCTTCATAGTCAAAGCGGGCTGAAGTGGGACTATCACCACTCCAGCCGGTCCTGGCTTGTTCCAGCTGAGCCTGGGAATCCCCTGAGGCTGGAGCTGTCCCTCTTCTGGCGGCCTCTCCCATGCATATCTCCTGGTATTACTCACTGAACTCAAAAAGAAGTGCGATGCCTTCTGTGATGACACAGCCATGACACAGCCATGACACACTCGGCTCTCTGTCACACGGGCCGTGGGAGCCACCCCCGCGGGGCACCGGGCAACCTGTGCATCCCCCTTGGCGAGTGAGCCTGAGACGGGCAGGGGCAGCACGGTCACCCCTCGGTGTGCTGGGACACACGGCAGGTGGCACTGGGACACACGGCAGGTGGCACTGGGACACACGGCAGGTGGCACTGGGACACCAGCACGGCACCAGCTGCCATGCCTGCAGGGGGAAGAGGCCGCTGCTGCACCTGCAGGTCTCAGCCCAGCGCAGGCAGGGGACCGAGAAGAGCCAGCTGCAGCAACCCCTGGGACAGGGAACATCAGCTCCTGAGAAAAACCTGGAAGGATCTCCAAATACGTCCAAATGTCCTGCTCTC